CCGCATTAAAAGTTAGATTTCGTCATTTTTCAGAAATTTTTTTAATTTGACATTGTCAAAACATGAATATTTGCATCATTTGAAACACTTCTGTAGATAAAAATATATGACTAAGACCAAAAATTGCAAAAATAAAGGCCCGATAAGGGGATGAGTAAATATGTATGTACTTATTGCTGACAGCAATAAAAATGAGAGGACTACAACTAAATTTTATTGCAGTCTCATATACAAAATTTCAACTTTCTACAGCTAATAGTTTTTTAGTTATCTGAGATACATTGCTGGCCATTAAAATTGCAATACCATGAAGGAAAGCAAATACAAAAAAGATATTTATTGTACATAAAGTGTATGGCATGAAGGAAAAATTATTAAATTTGTAAGCAGTTTGGGGATTTACGCAAGGGTGCGAAATTACCCTCGTAGTAGAGCTGCCACCCCTGGCAGCTAAAACGGCCCTTATCCGGTTAGGCATGAATATCGAACTGGGCTTGGATGACAGAAAGAGGCAACTCATTCCATGCCGCTTCAAGTCTGTGCCACACTTCGTCAACAGTATTAATTGGAGGTGGATCGCGGGCCAGTCTCTCAGCAACCCATGACCAGATGTTTTCAGTGGGTAACTGATCTATAGACCATGCAGTCCAGGGCAGCAGTTCAAATACCCTGTATATCGAGGAAGGTCAAAACACGAAGTAAAACATGTGATCTTGCATTATCTTTCTGGAAGATGGCGCAACCACTGGATGTAATATGTCAGAAATGTGCCAATCTGCGTTCTAATTACCGTCGATCCGAACTAGAGATGTGCGTGTCGTGTACCCAATGACTACTCAAACCATCACACCAGGTGCAGGGCCCTATGCCGATATCGAATACACGCAGGTGACGTGCGGTCTCCTAGGAGCCTCCAGACACGTATACGGCCATCGGAATACTGCACGCAGAACCGGGATGCGTCTGAAAAGATGACATTGTGCCACTCCTGTATGTAGATTTGTCGTTCGGCGCAACAGAGTCGGCGTCTCTGTCTGTGCTTCATTGTCAAGGGAAGCCGAAGTAATAAGCGCCGTGCTAATGGTCCACGCTGCTGCAAACGTTGACTCACCGTGCGAGCGGATACTGGAATTGCTACAAACATGCGCATTTCCTGACTAATGGTCCGTGATGTGGTTGTACGGTTTTCCAGGGCTGACCTCACAGTATGTCTGTCCTCTCGGGCGTTAGTCATGGGAGGGCACTGAGTTCCTGCATGCCTTTTAGTATGACCCTCAGCAACCCATTGATTCCATATTTGAATGACAGTGGTTGGGTGTCGACCAGTGCGACGGACGATATCAAGGAACGATAATCCACACTCTTGATAGGCAACGATCCTGCCTCTATCGAATTCTGACACTTGCTGGCACGAGGCATGAACACGCTATTCTGAGCAAATTCCGACCTTACAAAGCGTTTTCCGAATGAGAAATTCACTACACAACTTTTCCTTCATGCAGTGCTTCAGATGTTATTTCTCCTTCCTGCGTTGCCTAAATGCGGCTTAAATACTAATTATTTGCATATTCCAGCTTCTTCTTCCTTTCATATGATTTTGACTTTCGTCAGCTCATTCCTTCCTGATGTTGCAATTTTAATGGCCAGCAGTGTACATAAAACGTACGTACAGACGTCACAAAAATTCTGATCTGAATCCATTTTACACTTCGTTTTGGAAAAAATAGTCCTTCATCATGCATTCAGTCCTACGTACAGACATCACTCAAAAATTCGTCCGAATGGGATCGTCCTTTCGAGTTCCGAATTAACTATGTCATAGAGTTATGCAAATCATATGATATGGATTGATTTAAAAATGAAGCAATCCAGGAATAATTATTACAATTTTTTGGAATACAAAAGGTTAAATAACCGAACTAAAAATTTCGAGAACTGAAACCTTTCTTCTGGTGAGCTTCCATAGTGGATAACTGCACACTTTGTTTCTACCTCTGTTCGCGCTAAGACGCTATCTAACTGCTTTCTTCCTGTCGCAAAAAGATAAAAAATGTAAATGTTCTTGAAAAGGCACGATTAGAGTTCCAAGTGAATTGTGTCCATCTGCCTCGGCTGCCAAGTTTGCTGTTCATTACAAATTCAACATTCTGCGCTCTATGGTATGAATTATATATCAATACATCTAAGTCTATTGCTTCCTTACATATATAAAGGCGTCTATAAATGACAGATGCACTAAATCTTATAATTAAGTACATAAGCTTTGAAATGCATTTCAAAGACTCGTAAGTACTTATAACTATTCATCGCATGCGATTAGTGCTGCTCATATTAAGTTCAAACAATAGAGTCAACATTTAAACGTCTAATTACAGCACCCCTTTGATGATGAGATCTTTGAAAGATAACTATAACGTCTTATGCCACATGACATGGCAATAGATTGGAAATTTGTCAGAATACTATTTCCATGCATACAGAAGACAATAATACCTGCTTCCAGTTGTTTAAAATATTTTGCCTTTTGCGATAAATTTCGATATCGATTTGTATTCATGTTAATTTCCATAGGAATATGTTAAAACGAGGAAAATATAGTCATATTTTCTGGTGAATAGTTACTGTGATAATTCCTCTGTAATTTGAGATAAGAATTTACAGTTTGATCTCTTAATTTCCAGTACACATTTTAGAAAGTAATTGAATTAATCTTAAATTATAATATTATGCAAATACATTTTAATAGTTCAAACAGTAGTCTGAAATTTAACTAACTACAATTATACGTAATTTTCTCTGTCTAGCATCCTTCCTCATTTCGTATAATAACAATTGACGGAGATAGTGTTCACATGACGTTATAATTATATCATTGTATGACGTAAGATAACCATTCAGTGCTTCTCGTTTATCTAATTTTCATCCTATGATCATAAAATATATCTTGGCAAGTGTTGAGAATCAAAACGACTTAAAATAAAATGCATTATAATGCTTAGAAATTCAGATTTTAAAAGAGTTATTTATATTTTAATGAATTACACCAGTTAAAATATAAAAAGTTAAAAAATTAACAGAAGATTTCAGCTTTAATTTCATAGATAAAATTTTGATTTTCATAAAAACATTATTTTAATAGAAACTTTATGAAACATTACTATAGCTTCAGACGGCATGTGCATATGCGTATATATCCAAACTTATATTTCATCTTAAAATACATGATATTTAATATATTTGAATAAAATTAAGAATAAAAAATAAGTATATCTGATGTGTAACTTCCATGTTCCGAAATTTTTTTAATGGTACATTTTTAAGAGTTTTATAATATATTGACGTGTAACTTACATGTTCAGGATTTTTTTAATGGTTCATCGTTAAGAGTTTTAATTTGTACATTTATTTAAGCTACTAATGTTTCGATTATGCATATGGGAAAAAAGAATAAATTAAATACTCTATGAAACTCATTTTCAGACACTTTTACCTTGAAAATTTAATTAAAATCTTTAATCACGCATTTTTAAACATTGCTTCGATGGAGAAATTCCCCTAAATGTTGTGAAATAAGAGTTAAAACCTTTGAACTATCGTTTTGCCTGTCTAGAGATGTCAAGGCATAGGAGGGCCATCTGCCAAAAAATGGAATAGAAACATTAAAATTATAAGGTATTTCTCCCGCCTTCTTAGCGTGCCTTTGTGGTGGGGTAGTCTGCACGCTGGACGCCTATTCCAGAGGTCTGTGGTTCGATTTCTGGCGAAGTCGTCGCTAATTTTCCATCTTTCCTACTTCCAAAATACCTAATGTGTCTACAAAGCATGTAATTAAAGTTAAAATAGGTTGCAACATTGGGATAACGAAGAGACTTTAAAATGTAGGACTGACTTTTTGAAAACAGCAAAACTTACTCTAAAGTCTCATTAAATATACTTTATTTATATTTTTAATCGGTTCAATTATTTATACCATCTCTGTATTGTAGATCTGGAGCAATTTTTCCGGTTCAAAGATTTTTCCCAATCAATTCATAATTTTATAGAATTTGCGTCTATGTTTTTTTGTTTACTGTGCATGAACTTCATTCGTAGTAACTAGAATTTTATTTTACAAAATTTATTTTTAACCCATAAGTTAAAAGTTCAAATGATAAATTAAGCTTGCTGTTGCCAGTGACACAATGAACAATAGCGCAATTGACCGATCATTTCCTTTTTGCCACAGTACCGTTGATTCTGTCTTGAAGTCAACCGGAAGTGATTAGGCAAATGCCTTTCGTTACCTAGAGCATAAAACGCGACAAGAGCAGTCGGCATGCATTCCCACCCTGCTTCACCCGCAACTGTTGCCACTCTTAATTAAGAAATCTCAAACACTTAGGTACAATATTCACGACAACCGCCTAATGAGGGACCGTGACCGACGCATCCTCGATGACCTCGGAAAGAAAATAAATCTTAAGAACTCAAGAATGTGCTTTTGGAAGAAGTGTCAACGTCTTCTATGAGTTCTTCACCTCCACCTGTTATTATTACTTTCTTTCCTTGTTTTTCGGCTTTCCTTCCGCTGCACTAATGTTGACAAAACGCCGATGTAATAACGTTTTGATTGAATTTCTTGACCAGGCACAATTTCATGCTACAGAGTACAAAGACAGTTTCGTTCTGGATCATTTGCGTAGTTTATGATAATAACTTGTCATTTGTTTTGATTTTTCTTTCTAAACTGTAGTAATGTGATCAAAGAGCGTAACAGAAGGAGAAAAGAATGCTCATTAGCGTTTGCTTTCGTGTGTATAGGTATGCTGAACACATTTCTTAGGACGTAAATAGTTCCATATGGGATACCATCAATTTTCACTTATCCAGACTCTTTGAATTTGAGAGCATGATATAATATTAGGCAAGGTGAGGAATTCTATAGCAGATATTTTTTGCAAATATAAATCATTTATTACATCAAGATTTATCTACAGGCCCCAAATCGTGACTGATGTTATCTTAAGAAAATACGCTTATATCTACGTGAAGGTAAAAAAGAATTGGTAAAAAAGAATAGGTAGAAGTTTCATATGTTCTATCAGCTAGAAGTTACAAGGCTTACAATCAGCCACACAGATAAGAAATAAATAACTTATAGATTTATTAGTAGCTAGAAGATGATAGCTGCACATATAAAAATAATGGTAATTAAAAGATTTAATTTATTTGTAGTTTGAGAAACACTTACATTTTAATTCATTTCCCAACAGTAATCCAACCACAATGCACCAAGCATTCGTACAATAAGACAGGTGTTAAAAGGCTTTAAAATTGCGTCACGACTTTTTTATTCATTTAATTTGCTTACAGCTTGAATGAATAATGCGATTATAGGAAAATGAAAGATCTGAGCAATATAAAATCTTAACTGGCTAACTTAAGATTAACCTTTTCATATAAATCTCAAGAAAAGTAGTGGAATATATTTCGCAACTAGAATAATAATGGAATTCTTTGTACATAGTTATGTGTTTTGCAATTGGAATGTGTTAGTAAGTAGAATATGCAATGGAATATGTTTTGTAAATAATGCAAGTTAAATGCAGTTTGTTCATGTAAACATTATTAATATCGTAAATGTTTTAAAAGTTCATCCACTTTTATTAAAAAGTCATAATCAGTTTCTAATCTCAAGAGTTCTTCGATAACTAAAACGCAGATATCTGGAACACGGTTATCAGATTCAGTAATTCAAATTACTTTGATGATGTATTGACAACAAAATTTAACTTGCTACATATAGCTATTGTATATAAAGAAATAAGAAACATTTTTTTTTTACTTCTTTCGTTGAGAAGTTAATGAAACCACACAACTCAAATTTAGATATAAGCGTATTACAATTCACAATCATTGTCCCACCTCTCCGATATGGGCTTACTGAACTTCGCTGAACTATTGAAGTTTCGAGTTGGGTTATCAGGAACGGTCACTCCAGCAATTTTCTTCTTATTCTCTGACCAGTACGAGATCGGTGTATCTGTATAAAGAGAATATTTGAAGGAAGGCTGAAGTCCAGCCTCGGGATCGAATCCTGGAACACTAAAGTGGTCGTGGGTTGTGCTAATGTAAACAGGAGGTGAACGGGGACGAAACTCCTCCTTGGCGATATCTGCACTGATTTTCTCGAAGAGGAAACGTTCCATTAGTTCTCGTTTTTTGCCTCGATTTGGTTGCTCCGGTCGTGGAGGAGTCTGCAAAATTAATGAAATTAAACCTAGTATTGATATGAAGGAAGAATCTCACTTCATTGTCATATAACATATGTAGTCATTAAAGTTTTATAACACTAAGCAAAATTTCAAGCAATATGTATCTGTGATATTCTAATCAAACAGTTTTATCCGATAAAAATAATTTCGAACTACTAGTAGGTAGAATTATTTGAATACCAAATTTGTTCGAGCATCTTTCTTTTATCGACCGTGAGTAATGGAACTGCTACGCATGACTTGTAGTTAAGATCTACTTCCAAAATTACTCGAAAATTAAAATTACTCCTAGCATCGTGCTGTTTGAAGGGTTGCCTAGTTTGATAAAAAAAACTTTTAGGTCGCTGATGCTTTAAATTTCTGTTCTTGATTTACTTATATCGGGTGTCGCGTATTGTATCTACTAACTTTAACAATTGAAAGACGGTAAATGCATGTAGTAACTTTATGTGATTGTGAAATAATAGTAGAGATACAGTGGATGGACAAAAATATGGAAACACCTTGTGAAATGCATGTTTGAAAAGAAAGATTGATTTTAATGAAATATGTAGATGGCGCTGGCGTTTGACTACTGACGCCCCCTATACAACTTCGTAAATGTGCTAAACAGTTCAGTTGTTGTCAGAGTACTGTTATGTGAGGTTGTCATTGCATTATGTCAGAGTTAACAGACTTCGAACGGGAGCAAATTGTTGGAGCACGTATGGTAGGTGCTTCCGTAAGCAAAGTAGCCGAGGTGTTTAGTGTTTCAAGAGGTACTGTATCGAAGATTTATTCCGCATATTTGAAAAGGGGAAAAACATCATCTGCTAAATCACAGCGCGGACGAAAGTGTGTCCTGAGTGATCGTGACAGACGATCATTAAAGGCAATTGTGACGAAAAATAAGAAGACCACCGCTGCAAAAGTTACTGCTGAAATGAAGGTTGTGTTACCGAACCCTGTGAGTACCAAAACAATTAGAAGGGAGCTTCATAAACAGGGAATTGCTGGCCGTGCTGCAATTGAGAAGCCACTCATCAGTGATGCTAATGCCCGTAACAGGAAAAGGTGGTGTTTAAGTCATAAAGCCTGGACTGTAGAGCAGTGGAAGCGAGTAATATGGTCTGACGAGTCTTCTTTCACATTGTTTCCCACTTCTGGCCGAGTTTACGTCTGGAGAAACGCCATCTCAAAGCCTATAATACAGACTGCTTGTTGCCAAGAGTGAAACATGGCGGGGGTTCTGTTATGGTTTGGGCAGCCATATCGTGGTTCTCTGCTAGCCCCATGATAATTGTGTCAGGGCACATGACTGCCAAGACTTATGTGAACATTTTGGCCGATCAAGTTCATCCCATGGCACAAACTTTATTCCCCGATGGTGATGGTGTCTTCCAAGACGACAAAGCCCCTGTTCACACAGCTCACATTGAACAGGACTGGTTTTCTGAGCACGAGGATGAGTTGTCCCATCTCCCCTGACCACCACAGTCACCAGACCTGAATATTATCGAACCTTTGTGGTCTACATTGGAACGGAAAGTGCGTTCTCGTTATCCACCGCCAACATCGTTATCTGAACTTGCCACCGTTTTGCAGGAAGAATGGTATAACATTCCCTTGTCAAACATACAGGAACTGTATTTATCCATTCCGAGAAGACTGCAAGCTGTTTTGGATGCCAACGGGTTTCCTACACATATTAAGCAAAGAAACATGTTTTTTTAAAGGTGTTTCCATATTTTTGTCCAACCCCTGTATTTACTGCATATACAGATAATACAGATGTTAATGAACCTTGAAAATAATGTCCTTTAAATACCCTTCTACTGTTTGGATGCGCTATTCGAGGTGATGCGAGAAGGCTGTCTTAGAATGCCCTGAGGATTAGTTTCAGAGTTACGTCATCTTTTTGTTTGCTGTTTGTTTGCGTCTTCTTTTTAGAACCAAATTATATTTATTATTCTGCTGATCTTTACTATTCGTCTGTAATCCCCACTAAACATCTGTGATAGAACTTATTCTAACAAAGGCTTTCACTGCTGCAATCCACAACGGCATCTGTCAATGGTCTATGTCAGTGGAACTCCAACTGTATGACAGTGAGACACTATAAAAATGCAAACGACCTCAAAAAGCAATTTCGCGACCCCAGTCAGAGCATCGGCCCTTAGTTATATACCAAGAGTGATCAAACTTCGTGTCAATAAGAGCCGCGAGTTGGAATTCAGGAATTTCGAGAAATTCCTCAAAAACCACAAGTCTTTAGTTATATCATTTTAAAAGTAGCGAAACATTTTTCAAATGAAAAGAAACATTCATTCAGAAACATAATTCAGAAATAATTAAGACACAATAACACGCCGAATAAATACTAATTCAGAAGTCAAACAACAAAAATCAGCATTATAATATTTTTTGCGGTTTTGCAGCTGAGGATAGTGGTTCGGTAAAAACCATCGAAACTAGTCCTGCGAAAATTTTGAAAATATAACGCTGATTATTGTTGTTTGACTTCTGAATTAGTATAATTCAGAAATGTAAGCATGTGTGTGTATATGTAGGTGCATATACGTGTGTATGTGTATACACTCATGCATATGTACATACATATATAGATGCATACAAGAACATGCACATCCATACATACATGCATATACATATACATTTATGAATCCGGTCTCGATAACAGAAGAGTACTTTTGCTTTTAATACCAAATTCAGTGCTACATATATGACATAAAATGCAAGTTTTTGTGCATCAGTTTCACAGGGGGCTGTAGAAATAATTAACCACTCTACAACTATGTTTAAAAAAGCGACTAAACATGTGAATTTTATATACCAGAATTTCAGTTATAAAAGTCTTATCGTCAAATACTAATATACCGTATGGTATGACTTCATACAGCATGTGCAGTTAGAAAATAATTCTTTTAATTCTGATGATTGATGAGATTTAATTCTTAATGAGAGGAGAAAATAAATAGTATGCCGTTGATGACAACGCGAGTTATGATTGCGAACGAGGGAGGGACGGCAACGGTCTTGAAGGGCCTATTTTAAAGTTCAATATGCTCGAATAATATGAAATTGATTGAGAGCAGAGACAATTACTTCCTAGTATAAGCACATGATTAAGCATTCATCTTTAAAGAAAGATGAATAAATATATATTTCATATATCTCTTCAAAAATTAATTTCATATCCGCAATTTCTTTCGTCCTTTTGTCATTTTTTCTTTTACTTTCTTTAGCATAATTTTAAAGCAGATGAAAAATTTTATGCATTTTAATTTTGCAGTTATAACGAAATAATTTGAAGTCGAATTTTATGTATTTTATGCTTAATTTTATGAAATCATTACAGTGCCATTTTGTTTTGTTCCTTAATTCTCGTTATTAATATATAGATCATTAATACAAAAAAATATTAATTACGTGTAAATTCTGTATTGCTGCTGTTATGAAATGTTAACACATTTTCGTGCTTTTAATAAAATATTGCATACTTTTCGTACTCTCTCGTACTCTCTTATACTCTGTACTTTAATAAAAATTTTTTTTGAAAGATTTGTTGTAACTGTCCATTTTTGATTACATTATTAGTCTAAACGGACTTTGTCCCTGAAGGACTGTTGTTTTCGTTTTGCAATTTTGCGTTGGTTCACTATAAATGTCAGTTTCACTCTTCAAACTGTTGCCACCAAATGTTAGAGTCCTGCATTATAATTTAAGAAATTAAATAATGAAAAATCTGCATAAATGTATATATATTTCTCGCATTGTGATAAAACAACGGTACATAGAGCCATCGAATTTTGAATGACGTAATCCTACTGCGAGTATGGGCATGTGGAAGCCCAAATTTGAAATTTGGAATTTATTTTATGATCGATTTCCTAATTTGTAAAACTTCAACGAATTTTTAATTAACAAATTTAAGTATTTTAAAGCGAGCAAGGTGAACGTTGTAGAGAAAAAAATTTTTTATCTCCAGCGCGCGAGACTCTGTATCGGAAATTCTAAAGATATGCTCAATTTAACACTATTTGGCGATAATGCTCTTGAAATGAATTTTATGGTTTAAGTGCGAAGAACGAGATATTTAATAAATAAAGGTATCAGGCAAAATGTTAAAAAAACGCCCCTTTGGACGTAATTTAAAATCTGAAACCTTTTAATTTTTTTTATGGATTTTTTATTAATTTAAAAAATCTTTTAAGAAGATTCTTGCAGCGCTGAAAGAGATTAGTGTTCTCTTGTTGCCATATATCTTACACAATTTATAATGACATTTTTTTAAAGTACATTTTTATATTATAGGAAATAGTTAAGGGAAAAAAGTACTTTTTCTTTAGCAATGGCAACAATCTTTTGTTTACATTTAAATTTAGCGATCTTTGCCTAATTTAAAATAACTACGTCAACGGTATACCATAATCTAGAAACTAACAGTAATTTTACTGAATGAGAGTAAAAGCCAAAGAAAAGTGTTTTGATCTCACCTTAAAGTCCACTAAATGAGTAGATAGTAGAGTATCTTTTTTGAATTCTTCACTAACTTCAGCCGGAGCACAAAGCAAATCCTTCTGGCCTCTGCGTAATTTATATGCTAGATTGGTAGAAGATATTTTCCGAGCCATTTACGATAAATGCTGAAAAGTTGCCGGAATTTAGATAACACGACTAATTAACTGTATAAAAGCGAGAATTTTTCTATTGAGCGAAATTTTTATATTATAATAAGTTATAAACAATCGGACAGAAGATTCTGAAGTTTAACGACTGTTTTATGATCGCGAGAAGCCGTCTTAAATAAAACCTCAGTTACCATAGAAACTACCCATTGATTAATTGTAAGAATCGATTGGGATTCGGTTTTATCTTTTCCAGTTTGAGTGTCACATAAGCCAGAGATATTGTCTCGCTAGACAGTAACGGTCACAGTGACATCTAGATGTTTTTCTTTTCTTTCTTTGTTAATTTTTTCCTTCTCAGAATGGACAGCTTGTTTTTGTGCTCCAAAACTATTTGCTCAGAAATGCGATTATTTGTTTCTTGACAGAGATGGGAAACATTGCTTCTAAATACGTGTTAAGCTAATTAAAAGCTCGGGAAGTTATGAGTAATATAAAATAACTCATAAAATACGATATATATATATATCACGCCGACATTACGCCATAATTATGAATCTAAATTTTCTGTTGTTTACACCTAAATGCACTTTTTGCATAATTTTTGGATATTTTGTGTGTAAAAATAACGAGGGGAACATGTATGAATTATTACGAAATTTGAAAGATATTATGAATCATTACTAAAATTGAAAAATGTAGCTGTAACTCAATTTTGTTAACTGAAGAAGTTTTTCTCGAAAAAGAGTCTTGCAGATTCGAGGTTTTGTCTTTGCATTAATAATACATTTGGAGTGCAAAAGTGAAATGTGATCCAAGAAGTAAAATAATAAATTTATTACAAACAAGCATATTTTTTTTACAAAATTATTTACAAGCGCGCCTGGCATATTGTATAAGGCTTTTATCTTCTTTATTATTAAATACTATTTGCGTTAAGAATTTAATCGAAAGAAAGGAAGTAAAGATAAAACGAAATGAAAATTTACGTATTTTTAGCATCATAGTTTAGTTTTGCCTCCACACGTAGGCTGTTTCAACGTAAAATGAAAATGATTACTTGAATGTCCATAAAAAATGTTCGTGAAATGATAAAATATTTATACAGAACAAAAAAAGAAATGTTGATTATGAGAAAATTAGAAGAAATTATCACATACGTACTGTCGTAGTGTAATTAGTGCCGTATTGTGGCATAATTAGTTGGCAGCCGGAATATCCATCATTCGAATAATCCTGGCAAAGACTAAGACATCTTCGAGTTTCAGAGGGTATTCCTTCACTGAAAAGTTTAAATTTCTACCGTGACACTCGAATTAAAATGTGCTGCACAATGATTTGTCACTACTTGGATTTGATTTATTGGGTCTTATGTTTTTTCCCAGTCGCCTTTTAAAATGAAGGAAAATGAAAGGTATTATCGCATTACTCTCTGCGTATTTTTATGTCTCAAGTAGTTAACACCTATAGCATGCAAATGAAAGACTCGTGTTTCGAATCCTAGTTAGTTTACGATTGAATTTTTCATGTCATTTGTTTTAAGAAAACCCAGTGTCCTCTATTCTCCTCAGTTTTACCTGCAAAATATTTACTCACTTTGATAACTTGAGTTACTTTGGTAGTCTCGCTAACAGGATAATTTGAATAAAAAATTAAGAAAAAGTGAGTGAACTTTGCTATTTCTTTTTATCCCTTTTTAGGGGGCGAATTTATTTCATGCTATGGTTATTTGTTTAAATATGCACTGTAACCTAGCTTACTTGTTCTTGTTTATGTACAAATGTAGTTAGGATGAAACAGGTAAACAGTAATATAAGTGTTTATTTAAATAATAATGTATAGAAATTTTCAATTTGCCACGCGATATATATATTAAACTACAAAAAGAATAAATACTAAATTTTCTCGAATCCTGAAAAATTTTTGAGTATTGCAAATCTTAAACCAATCTTAACTTATATCTATAGAGAAGGAAAATAATCTTTTACTTAGTTTTGAATGCTTTTGAATTAAAGAAAAATTTCAGATCTGCATTAAGGGAAAAACAAACTTAAGTATGTAATTTTTAAAATACATTTATCATTATTAAGAAATTTAAAATCATATTTTGTAGATGAATTACGTATATTAATTTTATTACCATAGCTTGATAAAAAAAATCACAAAAACGTTTAAGTAACATCTCAAACCTCTCACAATTTTCCGGTTTCTTCTTAAATTAAAATAAGGACAGATAGTCAAGTATTGATATAAATAAACACTGAATCGAAATGTTAAATTCTCTCCAAAACGCTCACTAAAATACGAAAATCATATGAAGTTCATAAAACCATACTTGGTATGGGGCTCGATTAGTACCTGAATCAATATCCAATCTAAGATATAACTGCGCTTCATTATAAGCTGTCTATACTCTCATGAAGATATCCGATCGGTCATGTGGCTGGTTAATCCAGCTAAGTGGATCAAGCGACATCTATCATCTGCCTTCACGAAGATGGCCCAATTCGAGTTAAAATTCGATCTTCATAAACGTACTGGCCCCCATCTGCACGTTGGGGCGCCTTCATAAAGTGCCAGGAACTTTTAAACTGCCCGTACGATGCACAACGCCAATCGTACGAGCTATAAGAAAGGGAGGAGCAGTACCCTCTCATTAGATTACTGGAAAAGTATTTATTTAACCTGCAAGCAGAGAGTTAAATGTAACAATAAATCTCCAAATAAGAAAATTTATTGAAGAAGGAAATTAGGAATTACCATTATAATAACAGGTTGAAAACTCTATTCATTGGATTTCAGATTTCTTAGATGTCATTCATCAAATTAGTGGTATAATTTTCCTTCATGCAGAGGAAACTTGAGGGGAAATACAGAAATCAACGTCTTGCTGTGGTGACCTTGTCCCTCTAGAATGTGTCTTTTACCTTCCTGTTTCAAAGACCCGCTAAAGTAGCTGATGCCCTTCAAAGTGGTCACGAGTGCAATTGCTTCAAGCAGAGAATGCGTGTTCTTAAATGTAATGGAACTACTAGTTTCCTTAAGCAGGACTAACTGCGCAGCAGATTAATCTTCCATTTCATCACCGTTTATTTCACCAACAAATTAGTACCGGATTAGATAATGATGAAACGAATACTGTAGGCTCATCATTATATTGATTCATTATATGTGCCATTTTTAAACATGCAAGGATAAAATTGCATTGGTAAATTACAAAGTTTAAAATTTGTTTTGTTATTGGACATTTTCGAAATTTCAAGAATTTAAAACTTGAAGTAATTTTCAATTTATGGTACTTCTAAAGTTGTTGTTTTTCACATCCTCCTTTTAATATGCAGCAAAACTAATAAAGAATTAAGTGAAGTAATCATATATAACTTTGCTTTTATTAACCGAAAAGTAATGAAATATGTGTATGGATAAATTCTCCCACGTAATGGACCACGTGCTTATACTTTTATTTGAAAGTGTTGCATTAATATCTTCTGGTCATATAGTATTTCTGATTCAAAATCATAGCATTTTTAAAAGCAGCATAGCTTTAAAATTCCCGAGAAGATTTGAATTGTGCCATAATATACTTTTTACCAAAGTTTGTTCAGAGCTTTAAGTAAAGTATCACTTCCGATTTATCAGGGCTGTTCCGATGGATGTAAAACTCGTAAATATTAAAATTGAAAGGTTTTGGAATATATTTTAATGCAATGTTTTGTTAAAACTGCTATCGGCTTCAAGTAAAGTACCACTACCGGTTGTCCATGTTTACCCAAAATCTAATCAACCCTTTATATAAATGTTAGATAGCTTAAATACAGAAAATAGAAATTTATAGAAATTTCATATGAGAGTTATCATAGACGAAATAAATCGTCATACACAGACAAGCATCATTCTAAACATCGCAAAAAACCTGTTGTTGGGACTCTAATCGTGCTTTTTCAGTGAAAACTCATTACCGAATTTTTGGACTGGAAACAAAGTTCAAACTACCGTCATGCCGCGCAGACGGTATAGTGATTAGGGGAGGTAAACCGCTGAGTTTGCTTCCAACCCAGGTATACTTAGTGATTAGGAAAGCCTTCACTGTGATACCGAAGGGCCCGGGTTTGAATCCCGGAGAAGGCATGGATGTAAAATTGAATGTCCCTTCATAGGAGGCAGCGGTGGCCGCCTATGAAGTGCCTCCACAATAACATGGCCACCATTTCTGGTTTTACTAGTGGCCAGTGCTGTTATAGGCAAGTGCCCGCTATTGGAAAAAAAACTACCGGTGTTCCTTTACATAGGTATGTACCTACCTAGGTATGCACCTCTTTCACCTATCTCGTATGTTGGTGGGAGATAAAAATAAGAGAAAAAGAACGAAAAGGAAAAAATAAAGAAAGGAAAAAAAAGGGGGAAGAAAATATAAAAGAGTTTTAGGCTTTAAACATGGGACCTGAAGGTCAAGGTGATTGCCGTAGATTCATTAGAAGCCATCATTATCACTAGCAAAGTTAACAACAAGGGAAGGGAGAACTTGCATGCCTGTCTCTTCTTGCAAATATTTTTCTCTGCGAAGCTAATTCTTAACGTGAACATTCTTTGCCAGAGCATAATTTACCTACATATGCTTATGTTCGTTTTGAACTTGTTGGTATGTAGCTGTAAAATTGGTCAAATCGAATGATGTTTCTTCATTGTTCCATACAGAGCAAGTAGTCGAATATTAAGACTGCTGAACATAAGTAGTTTGGACTGGGTTAAAATACAAACTAGCTTCATGGATGTTTCACCAAATATTACTAGTCAATTTCCCTTAAAAATGCTTCCACGGGGGTATCTCTATCCTTAGGCAAATAGTCTCCTCATAAAATAATTAGCCTGTCCTCATAAAATAATTAGTCGTAATGGATAAACGCATACGATAAGCGTCAAACCATAAGTTGCAATGTTATCTGTAAAATCTTACTGCACTTGCAGACGAGTAATAGTCTACGTATAAGGTAGCAAAATATCCATTTATACTTCTAAAAAGCAAGCTTACAAATAATATTAATACTTGTATAATCATTGAAGAACATCTAAAATATTTAAGAGAAGAACTTTTTAATTTCGCACCCTTCCTATTGTCAAAATGAAAATATTGCTT